GGGGAAAGTGGGGCATGGGGGGGGGGCAGGCCACTGGGAAGGGACTGTCGGAAGGGGCAGGGTGTCTGCCATCCAGGGGCTCTATGGGAAAGGAAGGGAGGAGGTAAGAAGGAGGCCCACCCCACCCCACCTCACCCCCGGGTGCCAGAAAAAGCCACCCCTGGACAGTCCCGGTGATGCAGGCAGGGAGGCGGAGCTCTCCAACGCCCCGGACTCTGCGTCATCTCACCCCTTCCCTGCCCACACAGGTCAGCCCAAGGTCACCCCCACCATCACCCTGTTCGCCCCTTCCCGTGAGATGCTCAGAGCCGGCAAGGCCATCCTGGTGTGTCTGATCAGCGACTTCTACCCGGGCTCCGTGACGGTGGCCTGGAAGGTGAACGGCACTCCAGTTTCCCAGGGCGTGGAGACCTCCCAGCCCTCCAAGCAGAGCAATGGCAGGTACGCGGCCAGCAGCCTCCTGAGCCTGTCCGCCCGGCAGTGGGGACCTCGCAGCGCGTTCACCTGCCAGGTCACGCACGAGGGGAGCACCGTGGAGAAGAGCGTGACCCCCGCGGGATGTTCTTAGGGCCCCCCACGCCCCCTGGGGTCTGGAGCCACAGGATCGCAGGAGGGGTCTCCCCTCCCACCGCTGCTTATCCCAGCCTTCTTCATGACGCCCATAAACCCTCAATAAACATCCTTGGGTCCATCGGAAATCCTATCTCATTATCTCATTTCATATTTCATTTGCAGCCTCTCGGGGTTCAGGGCAGGGTGGGGGGAGAATCTGACACCCCCGGGAAAGCTGCGCAGGGGAGAGGCTCCCCGGTCATCAAGGCCAGGACACCGGAACATCAGGCCCTTGGCCTCTCCTTCCTCCCCTTCCTCCTCCCAGCACAGGGCTCCTCACCCCTGCCGCCTCCCTGGACAGAGTCATCCATGGCCTGAACTCCGATACTCTCTCTTCCTGCCCCGGTGGGGACCTCTGCCCTCCCGTGTCCTTTCCTTACCCTGGGAAGCTCACGCTAGGCCTGGGCTCCCTTTGCCCCTTGGGAAGCCCCTCCTTCCTCTCTGCCCAGCTCGACTCCTGCCCACCCTCACTTGCTGCCCTTCACTCCTAAGAACTGGGCTGTCCACAGGGTCCAGGATACGCCGGCTTCAGGGGCTCTTAAATCTGGGACCCACCCCAATGGCAGGTTCAGCGACATGAGAGGGATGGGGGGGAGCCAAGAACAAACTGGAGACTCAGGGCATGTGCACAGACACGTGATGAGCTTCCCAGGAGCCAGGGCAAGGAGGCAAACAGGCACCTCATCATTTCCATGAGATTAAACAAAGCTTTGGTGGGGAGGAAAACAGCGTTCTCAACACTGCATCCAGGCCTCTCGTACCCCAGTTAAGGTGGGGACACGTTCACTCCCGAGCTGAGCCTCAAGGGGGTTTGGGCTCTGACACATCCACGAGAGACCTGGCCAGTGGCCCCAGGCCACGGTCGCTCTTTCAGGTACGTGACACAGAGACTCATCCCTTTTCCCATCGGGAAGATAGAGGGGCATTATTTATTGGGAACACATCTCAGAAAACCAGGTCACGCAGTTCGAATGTCGGACCCTGCAGCTTGAAACTCACGCCAGGCACGTGTGCGTGCATGCCCCAAATCCTGAGAGGAGAATGAAGGAGAAGGGATTGCAGCATGGCCATCCCCCCTGCAGGGTGATTTTTTGCTTTCTGTCTTTCTGCCTCTTCAGTGAGCCCATGTGCTCTATAGCAAAAATCTCTCTCTAAAAAAAAGGGGGGCGGGGAGAACAGTTCACATATGGGGACTTTCTCTTTGAGGTTCATGAGTCTGCAGTGACAGTGAAGCTACTCTGAGAGCAAAGGTGTCACTGAGTGAGAGAAAGCTCGGCCCGAGCCCAGGCCTGGTCCCTTTTGTCCCCCTTGGCCCCCTCTGGCCCCTCGACTTCTCTAACAGTGGTCAGAGTGGGCACAGGACACTGGCAGCTCCTTTGGGGTTTCCTGTGGCTACCATAATGCATCACCCCAAATGGAGTGGCTTAAAATCCTATGCATTTCAAGGCCAGTAGGTGGCATGGTGGTTAAGGCACAAGACTCCTACAAGGCAGACTCTGGTTTGAGTCCCAGACCTGGTGGCTTGAAAATCATGCCAGGTGCGTGTGCGTGTGTGCCCAAAATCCTGAGAGGAGAATGGGGAAGGAGGGATTGCAACGTGGCCATCCCCCTGGGAGGGGGTGATTTCTTACTTTCTGTCTCCTGTGAGCATACGCACCCTATGGCCAAAACCTAAAAACAAAACAAAACAGGAAATAACTATGCATTTATTCTTTCACGGTTCTGGAGGTCAAGGTCTGAATGAGTCCTGGGGCACGAACACCAATCTGTCTGTGAGTCTCTTCTCCTTCTGGAGATTCTTGGGGAGAGTTTTCTTGCCTGGTCCAGCTTCTAAAGGTCACTGCAACCCCAGCTCGGGGCCCCTTCACCCAGCTCCCAAGCCAGCAGGACAAGGACTCAGTCTCTCCTCTCACTTTCTCTCTCTCTGGTTAACTTCAAATAATAATGACAGTGGATAAAATTAAATAAAATAATTCTTAAAAATAATTATTTATTGGGAACCAGCAGTTAGTGTAATGGCTATGTCGCTGGACTCCCATGTAGTTGACCACAGTTCAAGTCCCAGACCCAGTGGCTTAAACTCACGCGGGGCGCGCGTGTGTGTGTGCCCAAGATCCCGAGAGGAGAATGGAGGAGAAGGGACTGCGGTGTGGCCATCCCCCCTGGGGGGTGATTTCTCGCTTTCTGTCTCTATGTCTCTCTCTGTCTGTCTGGCGAGCGCACGCGCCCTACAGTAAAAATCTCTCCAAAAAAAAAAAAATTATTTATTTAACTTTATATATTTATATTTTTTGGAGGGGGAGAAGTTTTTGCTATAGGGTGTGTGCACTTGCCAGAAAGACAGAGAGAGACAGAGACAGAAAGCGAGAAATCACCCCCCAGGGGGGATGGCCACACCGCAGTCCCTTCTCCTCCATTCTCCTCTCGGGATCTTGGGCACACACACACGCGCGCCCAGCGTGAGTTTAAGCCACTGGGTCTGGGACTTGAACTGTGGTCAACTACATGGGAGTCCAGCGACATAGCCATGACGCCATCTGCTGGTTCCTCATTCATTCATTTTTAATTTGACCAGAGAAAGACATGAGAGAGAGAGAGAGAGAGCCGCCAGGTCCGGGATGCAAACCTCAGTCATCCATGTGGGAGTCCAGTGCCCTTAACCACCATACCACTTGCCGGCCCCTATAAAAGAATTCTTAAAAAAAAAAAAAAGAAAAGAAAAAAGAAAAACATAACCTTCAGAACACAGATCTTGTTATTAGTCACGCAGGTGCAGGAAGCGGTTTGGAGACTCTGGAGAGAAGAACGCCATTCGCGCTGGTTATAAATGAAAAGTTGATGAGCAGCCCTCAGCTGGACTGGGCGAGGCAGCAGCACAAAGGGGCATCTCTTCTGCTGCACCTGCAGTGAGCTTCCTGGGCTGTTACGCTCAGTGGTTTATCAACACTGAAATGTTATCCTCTGGGCCAGCCAGAAAATTTTCTGCATTTTTGAAGAAAGTGGTTGGATTACAAAAACAAACACTGAACTCTCAAGCACTTTTAAAATACCTCCCAGGGACCAGCAGCTGGCATAATGATTACGTCAATGGACTCCCATGTAGTCAACTGTGGTTTGCATCCCGGACCCGGAGGCTTAAAACACGCTGGGCGCGTGTGCATGTGTGCTCAAGATCCCAAGAGGAGAGTGGAGGAAAAGGGATTGCAGCGTGACCACCCCCCTGGGGGGTAATTTCTAGCTTTCTGTCTCTCTCTCTCCAGGAAATCAATCAATCAATCAATCAATAAAATACCCCCCCAATCCAGCCTACGAAATATGATTAAATCAAATATAAACTACAAAACTTCCTACATCTATAGAATGTATAGGAAATTTATGGTGCAAACATTTGCATTTGGGTCCAAATCCTAATTGCAGTTTAGTAAATGCACTAGATTTTCCTTGATATTCAATACCCAGCAAGTTTTCATGGGTTTTGTCCTAGAATCCCAAGCGGATTTGGAATCATGAAAACAATGAATGAAATTTGAAGACTGCCACAAGCACCCTAACTGTAATTCATTGGCTGTTCCTTAGAATAAAAAATGAAATAGTAACAACTTTGAAAAATGTGGGCTGCCGGACCAGCAGTTAGTGTAATGGCTATGTCGCTGGACTCCCATGTGGTCGACCGCGGTTCGCGTCCCGGACCTGGTGGCTTAAACTCAGGCCGGGCGCATGTGCGTGCGTGCCCAAGATCCCGAGAGGAGAATGGAGGAGAAGGGATTGTGGCATGGCCATCCCCCTGGGGGGGGTGATTTCTCACTTTCTGTCTCTCTGTCTCTTTCTGTCTTTCTGGTGAGTGCATGAGCCCTATAGCAAAAACCTCTCAAAAAAAAAAAAAAAATTGACTGCATTTTGGGTTATAAAGCAAGTTCTTACAAAGAAAATTTCAAAGGACCGAAACTAGTCAACATATATTTCCTAAGCATGTACAATTAAACTAGAAATCAATAACAAATATATAATTAGAATATGTTAATATGTTTGGAAGTTGATAAACACCACTGATATGGAGCCTAATAGACAATTCAAAAATTGGAATTTGGTAATATTTTGATTAAAAAAATGCTTTTTTAAATTTACCAGGGGCTAGTGTACTCACCAGGGTGAGAGACAGAGGAAGTGAGAAAGCATTCCCCCACGGGGATGATCGCACCACAATCCCTTCTCCTCCATCTCTCCCATAACTGATCGTGGTTCGAGTCCCGGACCCAGTAGCTTCAGAAGCATGCCAGACATGTGTGAGTGCATGCCCAAAATCCCACGAGAAGAATGGGAAGGGATGGAAGCATGACCATCACCCCTAGAGGGTGTTGTTCACTTACCCTCTCTCTGTCTCTTTTCTTCTCCAGTGAGTGTACACACACCCTATGGCAAAACCTAAAAAAAAAAAAAAAAAAAAAAAAAGGCAACCCCTCCCCAAAACAAAAACCAGCACAAAAGTTAATGAAATAGGTACTGAACATCCCATGGGAATGAGAGGGAAGGGGGAAAAAACAGCAGAAGAAGATGCCTGACTGTGGTTCAAGTTTTGGGCCTAGAGGCTTGCTTTCTCACTTTTCTTCTCTGTCTATCTCTCTCTGATCAAGTTTTTTTTTTTTTTTTTTTAGAGGTTTTTGCTTTAGGGCGAGTGCGTTCCCCAGACAGACAGGGT